CATGGATGCTGTGGGTCATGGGTGCTGCCATGGGTCATGGGTGCTGTGGGTCAGTGGTGCCGTGGGTCAAAGGTGCTGCCATGGGTGCAGTGGTGCCGTGGGTCATTGGTTGATGCTGTGGGTGGGTGATGCTGTGGGCAGGTGATGTGGGGGAGTGGGTGCTGGGGGTGAGCGATACCATGGTTTGTGGGTGATGTGGGTCATGGATGCTGTGGGTCGCGGGTGATACTGGGGGCAGGTGCTGCCAGGGGTTGTGGATGCTGTGGGTTGCGGGTGAGCTGTGGGTGATGGGTGGATGGTGCCATGGGTCGCAGGCGCTGTGTGTGGGGATGCCGTGGGTTGGTGCCATAGATAGGTGGCACCATGGGTGGGTGATGCCATGGGTCACAGCACTGTGGGTGGGTGCTGTGCATGGGTGATGCCATGAGTGGGTACTGTGGGTCGATGGTGTGGGTTGGTGGCATGGGACAGTGCTGTGGGTCATGCGTGCTGTGGGTCTGTGCTGTGAGTGGGTGGTGCTGTGGGGCGTGGGTGCCAGGGAGAGGTGATGCCATGGGTGCCGTGGATCAGCACGGTGGGTGGGTGACACCGTGGATCGGGGCTGTGGGTAGGTGATGCTGTGGGACAGGGCCATGGGGGGGGGAGCCATAGATGAGTGGGTGACACCATGGGTTGGGGCTTGAGTGGTGATACCGTAGGTGATGCTGTGGGTCGGGGCCCGTGGGTGGTGACACTGGGGGGGTGACACTGGGGGTGACACCGTGGGTGGGTGTTGACATGGTTTGGTGCACAGGTGGTGATGCCATGGGTGACGCCATGGGTCAAGGCCACAGGTAGCGACATGGTGGATTGACGCTGTAGGTTGGTGACACAGTGGCTCGGTGTCCATATGGTGATGCCACGGGTGGCACCGTGGGCCAGGGCCGCAGGTGGTGGCACCATGGGTGATGCTGTGGGTTGGTGACCCCCATGGGTTGGTGGCCGTGTGGTGGTGCCATGGCTGACGCCATGGGTCAGGGCTGCAGGTGGTGGCACCATGGGTGATGTCGTGGGTTGGCGCCTGGCTGCTGACGTGCGTGCCCCCACAGGAGCATGTGGCCGGGGCTGGCGCTGGTGCTGCTGGCACAGGCGGGGGCGCGGGGGGACGAGGGGCCGCCCTGGGCTCCCCCCGGCCCCACGGTGGCACCAGGGGACCCGTGTGGGGCAGCGG